TGGCAGCCTTTGACCAGAGACGTCCTGCCCATCGCTGATCTTGAAGCACCTCCTCAGCGTGAGCCTGACTGCTCCTCCTAGTCTTCATGGTCTCCCTGGCACCTTCAAATGGGGTTAAGCTCTACACCACTTAACCAGCGCATGGAAGCGATTAAGAACAAAAATTTAATTTACAAACAATTTTCAGAGAACTACCCAAGGCATTTAAGAGCCTAATTCATTTTTATACTTAGATAATGCTGGGCAATTTTAGATTATCTGGTATAAGGTTCTAATTAAGAGACGGAGAATGTATTTTGTTCCTATGGGTATTCCTATCCTTTGCTAATATAAACACTACGAGAGATGGAAGGGATTAACAAGAGTTAACAATATTGGAATAGAAATATTTTAAACCTCCTTTCATTATCACTCTCAAAAAAATGCTATTAGCTTAGGCTTCTACGCTAATTACGCTTTACAGGGTCACGGTGAATCTGGAGCCTATCCCAGAATTGAGTGGGTACAGGCAATGGGACACCCTGGATAGGATGCCAGTCTGATGCATGGCACACACTCATAAACGCACTCTGTGGGCAATTTAAAGACATCAATTCAAGTAAATCGGGATACAAAGCAGAATCCCACACAAACAAGGCAAGAACCCTCTACGGGAATTGATTCCTTAAGAGTGGCCATACTTGCCTGCTCTTAACCTCACGTATCATCCATTTTTGATATTAGTCGCAATGGCTGTAATGAATGCTCCATCCATTTTCAGTAACAGCTCACCCAGTGTCGTGTCACGGCCCGGCCGTTAAATGTTAAAAATATGCACAATATTCCTCTTGGTCGTGATGGCAGTTGGACATAGGCAACGGACCCCCTCCCTCTTAACGGGGACGTCACTCTGTCCACTGTGGCGGGAGGAGATGTTGAGTCACCCTTCAAGGAGGCAGGGGGTGTCCAGTCTGAAAGGCCGCAGCCCTGACCCAAGGGGGTGGCACAGGGAGCCCGAAATGAAATCCGAGCCAACACCGGTCAAGTAGGAATGTCTGGCATCGCACATTAAAGTTTCTGCCAATGTGTTTGGGGCCAAAAAAAAAAAAAAAAAGTGTTGGAACAACATTATTTCAACTCAGTAGTCTGCTAATATAAATTACCCAAGCAAGACCTTACAAGCACTTATATGCAGCAGTTAGAAATGAAAAAGGGTCAATGCCGGGAAATGTTACTGGCCGTTTGTAAATACCTTTATCACCTTGATACGTGCGCGTACACATGGAATTAAGATGCAGCTCATATCCAGCTCTCTGCCGTTTCAATTCCTCAGTACAGGGCAATAATCTCGCTTTCTGTTTAGACAGGAGCTGGTAACGTAGTTTATGGCCTTGGTCTTATGGCGTTAAATGGACTGGAGTGTCTGGTTGTTGGGGAATTACCTGAGTGTTTAAGCCCTTGCTCCCACTGACATAAATGCAGCGAGGACCCCTGCCCATTCTGGTCTTATCCAGCATTTTAACACTGGACTGGTGGGCAGGGTCACTCTGGGCTAGCGGGCAGGGCCACTCTGGGCTAGCGGGCAGGGCCACTCTGGGCTAGCGGGCAGGGCCACTCTGGGCAATGTATTAAGCTCCTGTCTACAAGCAACACAGAAGGCACATGTGCAAAAGTTGTCCTACTCAGCTAGTGTTTCCCATTCCATACCATCATTTGTGAAATCTACCATCAATAATTTAATTTTTTTTTTTTAATCGATGTTCTACATTTTTTATTGCAAATAAGGATTTTTTTGTGCAGTTTTCCATTAGACTTATCTTTGGATCTTTGAATGGCCTGATTAAAAGAACCAGATTACTATCAGACATGGACACATAATTAGCGCACTGATCTAATATCCGTTTCCCCCGAGAGAGAGGCAATCCGCCTCCCTCAGATCTGTCCTTGTGTGAATACGATAACAAGGGGTCTTGCCTGAATGCTCAGTCCTAAATGTTAGTGCCCAACCCCTTGCTGTGGACAGGCAGAGAATCAGGGAAACTCAGCAGGGACTAAAGTGAAAATATGTTCTGGCGCTAGGCAATTTATCATAACAAATCTCGGCATAGTGTCGACCAATATCTCATCCACTGTTTTCATTCAATGAAAACTGAAACAAAAAAAAAATGCTATATTGCAGAAAGCCCCCTCTGTGTGCTCACTGTGTCAGAAGGGTGGAAAGTTCCTTAGCGGAGAGAAAACGGTTTTAGGTTCGAAAGCAATTTCAGCCCATTTCTGTCCACGGAACGAATGTACAAGTGAGCGAAGAGCAACGCACTTGCAGCGCAAAGAGAGGTGAAGAGGGCCAGCGGGGAGCTCGGCAAGCCAGGCCCCGGGTTCCGGCTCCCCGTCGCCGCGGTGACAGTGCGGAACACTCGGAGCTGTCACCTAGCTGACGGGGGAAGGAGGCGGCGCGACTCACGGCGCCACTGGGAGGTGGCAGGGGAGCCGCGGGAGGCCTCGGCTTCTACCGCGTCAATAAACTGAGTGCTTACTCGCTGAGGAGCAGCCACTGCGGAACGGAGCGCACTGTAATGCGACAGAAATGCGACGGTGCGGAGGGGGCATCCCATATGCCTGAAAAATAAATCAAGCAAAACCAGGTAGAAAATTTCTCTTTCACTGAAGCAGTAAATGTGAAGCGACGGGAAGTAAAGCTGCGAGGCAGGGCTGGGTTCACAGGATTCCTCCTGTCGCTAAGAGCGGAGCCTCGGGCCTACGGGAGACAGCTAGCTGACGCGGACGGGACCCTTTGGTGCCTACGGGGTTAAAAAGGGTCAGCTGGGCGGCTCTGGGGATGACAGGCGATTCTGCAGCGCGGGCAAAGGAAGTCGCGCCAGGTTAGCGTGCGCGAACGCTTGCGAGTTCAGTCCCGCGACCTGACAATAAACCAATGTTTCTCAAGGTAGTCCTTGGGGATCCACATTTTTGCTCTCTGCCAGCTCCCAGCAGACCTGTATCTGCTGTTTGCTGTTCTCCATTGTTAGTTAAGGCCACCAGCAGATGAAAGACATCGTCTCTGGTTCACATACAGAACTACAGGATGAAAACTAAGCAAAAATTCCCAGACCGTGCTGCCCACACATATTTTCACCCCCTCCACATGGTTCTAAGGAACCCCCAAACAAACAAACAAAAATACAAACATAATTATTAGTATTTCTCTCCTAAGCTGTGAACAAAGTCCTAAAAAAGCAGGCTGAGCACAAAAAGGTGAGTGCAGCAGGTCACTGTTATTAGCTACATATTGGCAGATGCACTACTATTGGAGGGGTGCATCTATTGCCCATGACACTCCATCAGTCTGGAAACAAGATGAAGGGTCACCTAGCAAACACCTGGAGCCGAGAATGAATCCAGCAAACAGAACCAGGTGAAGAGGCCAGATCATTCAAATTGATAAGAGATTTTAGACTAGCCTCAAAAACTTATAGAGGTACATTACAATACTTCAATTTTATTTATGCTGCTTATCCGGCAGAATATTAAAAACGGAGGGGTGAGAGTCGGAGGCGGAAGGATACCATCCCCCCCTATCACCTTACAACAATCGATTATTCAGCTGCTAAAACGGCTCGTGTAAAGCCCATTAAGAAGCCGTGTGCAGATCCATTACCTTTCTCATGTTACAAGTGAAAACTGCAAAGTCAACAATGGACAATTTTGCTAGCTGCACCTAGCGGACGGGATCGGCTAAAATAAATCTATTCTTATCCATCAATTAATTAAAACGCTCGCCATTTCAACAACTATTACATTACAGGATGGGGCTCTGGGAATTTCTTTTTTTTTTTTGGGGGTACTTGCTACCTTGTCAGAGATAACTACATTTCACGGAGGAGGGGGAAAAAAAAATATATAAATGGTGTAGGAGATTGCTATCCGTGCAAGTTATTACCCTATAAATGAATGCACCATTGAGTCAAATTTAATTTACCGGGATACAAAGTTCGGGGAGAGCGCGGGCGAGGGGGGGCCAAGGGTGTGGGGGAAATTACACGCCATGGGGGAAGCATACGCGGAGCCTCTCCTGCCACTGCCTAAAACAATCTGCATTAATTACACGGCTCCGGCAAGGCCGGGCACCACGGGGCCCGAATGGCAGCGCCTGTCACACGGGCACATCCTGATAAATCCCCATGGGAGGAAAACGATACAGGAAAACAAAAATAACTCTTTCGGCCGGCCCAGGGCCTCTCCGGGGGGCGTCCTGTGCGTCCTCCTGCGACCGGTGACAGGAACACACTGATGTGAGACGCCGGGGTCAGAAGGTCGCGCCGTGCACGGCCAGTGGCACCAGCGGCGGGGAGAACTCCCACGCCATGCACTGCGGGGCCAGGGGAGTCTCCCCATGAAGAAAAAACACACACATTTTCTTCAGGGATCCGAGTCCTTCGGGGTGAGAGGCTGACGCTTCAGCTCTCATAGGCATTAACCTACTTCCTGCTACATTCTTATTCAAACAGATATTTTATACTTAAAACTCTGAAAGACTAAACAAATCATGTGTCTTCCATAAGCTTATCCAGTACAGTGTACCCGTGAGCCTGAAGCCCCTCCCAGGAAGCAGGGGACACCCAGGGAGGCATGCCAGTCCATCGCGGGGGGGGGCGCGCGCGCACACACACACACACACACACACACACACACATATCACGGAATTTAAAGACACTGTGCTGCCAGAATAGAACAATGCTATTTCTCCAACCTAAGCATTTTACTCGTGTATTTCAGGTTAAGCACCATCCTCTTGGGGGTAACAGCCGGGCACCTCTATGTGCTTATATAACAGCAGACCGTTTGCACAAAATAAACGTGAACAAGCCTGTGCCTATGGACCGGGCAAATATAATGCTGAAAGAATCCCAAGTATTACTCACTGCAACTTCGTACATTTAATTCATAAAAAAAAAAAAAATGCAGATTCTTACTAATAATGCACAAGAAGTAACCAACGTATCCAGAAGTGTTTCGCTACTCACCTGATGTGGGCCTCGGCCTTGCTGGCGGCCTCCTGGTACTGGTCACACGTCATCTGGTAGTACTCTAGGTTCTGAAGAAACAAAACAGGCAGGCATTCAGACAACATGGTGAAAGTGGGATAACTGAAGCTCACAATCAGAGATTTAATGTACACAAGTGCAGCGGTTGATGTGCTAATGGGAGCCTCAGCATTAGCTTCAGCTTCACTCCAGAAGCACGCTTACGTTTGTTTCAGGGCTGCATCACAACAAGGAGACGGAGGTTAGCAGAGGTAAGAAACAGACAGGACAAGAAGTAAAACTATCTCTGACAAGTTGTTCACATTGAGATTTTCCAATTCTCTGCTTTATCATGTCAAATAAGTGAGTATCGCTTCTACAATAAAGTAGATCTTGAATCGGACCTCCGTTTGTCACGACAGACAGTGTCATATTAAGGACCTGGTTTGTGATGTCCCCTAGGTGTCTTTAACGGCAATAATTCACAGATCCCTTCAGAGCATGCAGATCCCCTCTCTCAGGAAGCGCACAAGAACAAGCAGGGATATAAAAAAAAGCCGTTTGTGAGCTAATCAACCCTGCATGTGTGTCTAATTACTGGCCACTTCGAAAATCCACAAAAAAAGTTCCGGGAGGTTCCTTGTGAAGTGTGCATCAATTTCTGACCCGAGAACTAAATGTCAATCTGGCTACAAATTAATTTTAAATGACAACAGCTAGGTGGAGGCATTGGCGACGCTTGACAGATAACAACCCCTGGAGCTCTTCAGGAAAATTACACTTGAGGAGAAATGATTGGGTCCGCTCTCAAAGCGACCCTCACGCCGATCGCAGTGGCACGGCCCAGATTAAGTAATTTATGGAGCCACGCGAAAATTCTAGCCAGCGCGGCGGCCGGCCTGGCGTTTAATGGGAAAGGAGAGCGTGCTCGAGATTAACGGGCAGCGGTGGCAGGTGTTTAACAACAGCTGTAAGCGGAGGCCTCTCACACGCGTCTCCGGACGCTAATCGCCACGCCAGCTCCGAGGGGGAGCGCTGAAGGAAATGAGCTCTGGGCCGGGAGGCCGCAGCTGCCCCCACTGCTCGCCCGGCGTGTCAGAAAAACACACGGCCTCGCACGTCAGGGGGGAACAGAACGGGAGCCCTACAGATGGGGGGGGGCATGACAACCCAGCCATGGTCTGTGCGGAAGCAGAAGGCAAGTTGGGCCTGACTTTTCCACCGTGAGTGTGTGTGTGTGTGTGTGTGTGTGTGTGTGCGTGTGCGTGTGTGTGTGTGTGGTCTGGGCTACTGTGTGTAGGGCCTTGCAGAGGAGGAGAGCTCAGAAACAGCCTGGGTGAGTCAACTCTCCAACTCCACCCTCTAAAACCCTGGACCTTCTCAGCTTGATGTCAGGACACATGCTGCATAAAAAGCAACATGGAACTGGAGCAGTTACACACCTAGAGACGGGGGCTTCTTTGGTACAATCGGTCAGAGCGTGATACTTAGGCAGCAGTGTCTGGTGGAGCCATGCGGAGGTTGAGAATTCGAGCGTCACCTGGAGCAACAGACTTTCTTCCGAGCGCTTTTTTCCTCTATACGACCATCTTCAACAGAAAATGGGCAAGTCTCACACAGACTCGGGGATTTCACAATTTATTCAAGGCACCGCAGGGATTCAAACCCAGGATGTTCTGTTCACTAGACAGGCACAGGTAACGTTTTTCCTTGTACCTGGTCCATAGCAGCCCCAGTTGCCGAATTCGAAAAGCATGCAGGACAGGGCAGGACCCACCAAAGATAAGGATGGGGCTTGGAGACCCCCCCCCTCTCTGAAAGCGAGGGCTATTCACAAAAATGACTCAAAAAAAAAAAAAAGATCCAAAACCTCGCTCCCAATTCTTTGGAGCCTCTGCAAGCTCACGACCGCAATCCCAGTCCCAAGCCGACATGACCACCATGACCACCATGCCCACCGCGGAGGTCCCGTTAATTATTTTTTTATTAATTTATGCCCTCCTGTCGAAAGAGGGTAATTGAAGCGGACGAGGGCCGACTGATGGGATTGAGCGAGGAAGCCTCCAGAATCGCATCCATTTCCACTGCGCGGTTTTCCCAGTTCATGCAGTTTGGCCCGCTTCCAGGAGCGGCTCCGGGGGCAGGCCGAGGGACTCGTTTTCCATTTGCATTCACGGTGATCCTTAATCTATTACGGGGACAAATTAAATCGTCCTCCCTCACCCTTTTATTTAAAAAAAAAAAATTTAAAAAAAATGGGGAAATATGTGAAAGCACGGCTTATAGAGAGCTGCTCTATTCTGAGCGGTCTCTTAAGGGATAATTAAAATAATTGCTTTTTAAATGTTAATGGTTTTTAATGACCCAGTACAGGGCTCATAACTTGAGCCTGCCTCCTGACTTTGCCGAGACGCGACTCGCTACCGGAGGGCTAGAAGCGGCGGGCCATGGGGTACTGGGGGGCCTGAGGTTGGCGAGGCGTCTGAATCAGTGCCAGAAAAATTAATGGATTCTGGGCAAAAACTGATAAACAAACAAAGCAAAAAAAAAAAAAAAAAAAATACTAAAAAGAACAGTGACAAAAACTTCCATTTAATCAAAACGAGTCGCAGCTTTAACTTTTTAAATTAACAAAACGTGGCTGCGGATGTCTTCTTATGGCTGCTTTTTAATTGCTTGGTTTTATCAGAGTTACCGTTCAGCAGGACGACACGGAGACACCCTTCTGAAGACTCGCTCGTGCTCACAAAACCAGAAGTGTGTTTTTATCTCCTATCTGTCACACGGAGCCTCCTTTGCTGCTCGGGGGGGGTGTCGGACCAGCTGAAGCCGGATGCCGGGAAGCCGGATCGCGTCTCGCAGCCTTTTGAAGGTCCCGTGATGATGAAGATGACCGAAATGTCATCGCAGCCCTCTCAGGGCCTGGGGCTGAGGTTTCAGCTCAGGCTGTAGATGGGCGGGGGGGGGGGGAGAGGACTCAGAGCGACTCAGCGGAAGATATGAAAGGCGACCCAACTTCCCTCTTGTGTCCCTGAGCCAACCACCCCACTAAGGTGGTGGGGGGCGGGGGGGAGTGCAATCAGACAGCCTGCTAAGTCCTGTACACTTCTGCTGCTTGCCAAGGGTCCCTACGCTGGCCTACACCAGGCCATGTGCCAGACTACCAGCACCAAAGCCACGGAGACGGAGCCTGCCCAGCTCACAAGTGGGGGGGGGGGCATGCCCATCAGCTCCGGTCTGTGGCTGGCCCCGCTCCCAAACCCTCCCCTCTGGCCACATGGTACAGCCCAGCGCATCTGCCTGCAGTGCCCAAAGACGGCCAGTTGCTACGGCAGCCTCCTCCCGCACCGACGTCCGCAAACACGGGCCGACTCCCTCCCTCGAGCGGCCATCTCAGAAAAGCGGAAACGGACAGCCGCCCCGCCGAACCGCAGCCGCCCCGCCGAACCGCAGCCGCCCCGCCGAACCGCAGCCGCCCCGCCGAACCGCAGCCGCCCCGCCGAACCGCAGCCGCCCCGCCGAGGTAAACGCGTAACTGAAGGTCCTCTGCAGGTGCCAGAATCCTGGCAGCCCCTTTAACCCTGGCTTTACACCACAGCTAATGGGCCACGGTACAGACAAACAGCAGAAACCAGCCCGCATTCATTTTTCATACCTGAAAGTCATCAAGTACAGAAAGAGTCAAGATACAAGATACTAATAAATTAAATGCAAGCCACAGTTATTACCCTGGCACTGTAACAAGGAAACAGACATATGCGACTTCTCTCTACTTAGCCGTCAATTTACTTCCTGTCTATGCATTTACCCAGTTTTTTTTTTTTTTTAATTATCAATTTATCGTTCATTAAGGAGAAAAGGCACTTTCTCCGGTCTAGAAAGACAGGCGTTAATGACAGCGGGGGCTGTGCACTATTTAAGATGCGTTTCATCAAATTAAATCGTGACATCTTTAAAAGCCTGATTCTAATTAGCTGCTGTATATCTTGCATTAGCTACGCAAACATCTTTTTCCCCGTTATGTGCTTCTAAACAGTCTATTTATGTTTGATGTATTATAATTTAAAACTAGAATATATTTTTGCCAAGTTGGAACGGAAAGTTTCAGAATCCGATCTCTGCAAAGTCACAGCACTGATATTTAATTAAATGTGTAGATCTTAATGCGTAACCGTGTTAAGATTACAGACTTCGTGGTTATGACTGGCAATTAAAAAAATTGTTTTAGGTTGTGAGATGCTCTCAGGCAAAGAACTTCACGTTTGTGATGAGACTGAATGATCCATCGACCTGGAAACTGACCATTATGGCTCTGATCTCAGTGGAGGCTTTGCTCCTAGAACCATCCCGCCAGCGATCCGGTAGACGTGCTGCTCACCACGCTGGTGCTGCTCACTACGCTGGTGCTGCCCTCGGTGACCCTACAAGCGACTTCACAGCTCGCTGGCCGCTGTAAATCCCTCTAATGGCGTCCTGCTCCTTTGGAGACCTTCCGTGGATCGCTTTCGGACATCGTGCCACTAATTCTCTCTTTCGCCCATTCCCTCAACTAAATTAAACCTTAAAAGACAGAGCCAGCATGTAAATGTACCTTGGAAATGTTAAATCCACTGTACCGGGGAGCTGATGTCGTCCTCAAAGCAGAGGAGCTCCATTATTACCCTGAGATGTGCGTCTACCAAAGTCCTTCTCGGGGCACCTGCCTTACTGCCCATTCTGATACCAGAGAATAAAGCTACACAGAACCACTGTGCTTATAGGTCAGCTTGGTTTAGGGTGAGACCACCTCATCCACGTCACGGGGGACACAATGAGCTACTTCACGTTTTACAAACTACTTTAAATTTGAAAGGCTCCTATGCTTAGCTACATGGTTCAGTTCTTCTTGTGCTTTTACTGCTTTATTTCTTTGATTGAAACATTAATATTAATGACACGTGCACGATTATAGGAGACCGACCAATCAGCACACAGCAAGAACTCAGTGCTTAAGTGAAATCCGGGTCCTTTTCATTGAAATGGTAGCTTACAAACCCTGTCCTAGCTCATAGTGTCCCCCTGACATGGATTAGTTGGTCACCTTAGCCTGGTTACTTATGTATGATAAACAAGTAAGGGGTGATCTAACAGCTCTCCCCGGAGAGGAAAATAAGCAGATATCTAAGTTTTGATGTTTTATTGGAATTATTTCTTGGAATAATCACTCATGGCTCAGTGGTTATCAGGAAAATCATATATATTAGTCTATGCATCTCTCAAACAGGAGGCCAACCAGAGTGGCACGTTCACCTTCAGTCAGCTGGATGGAAGCAGGGCTTCCTGGGATGGAGAGGGGGTCCTGCTTCTTATTACTCTCCTCACACCGGTCCATTTTCCACGCCATATGAAACGTTCACTTACACATTAGCCGCCTCCAGCAGTGCCGGCGATAAGCAGCAAACTGGTGATTTTCAGACATTTTTTAATGTCTGAAATGCCGCTACATCACCTCCACTAGAGCAGCCAGCGGAGACTCTCCCCGGCGACCGCTCATACATCCCTACCACACCCAAAGCCAGCAGATTAACAAGAACCCGCAGCCGTTTAGGATCTAGTCAGACTGACAAAGTGTTTTACGCGTCTGTGACACTGAGGGGCAAGATCCTCACACCATCTGGATAGAAACACTGAAATAAATAGTCGCAGAGTCACTGACATACCTACAGACAGCAACAGACACAAATACCTGCACACAGATTCAGACACACACACACACACACACACACACACACATAGACAGACACGCAATCTTTTCACTGCCAGACCTCACTTGCTGTTGTGAAATCATACTGGTGACACCACAGGTGACTTCTCACTTTTTATAAATCAGTGCAAATGATACGCACGCTGGTTACTGGAGTAATTATGCAGTGTACCCTTAGAACAAGTCAAATTAGTAACTATACCAGGTGGTGTACAGTGACATCAACAGGGGCTATAGCGACGCTGTCTGTGGGTCCACATGAAACAGGGCCACAGTTATATGAGAGTACTGCCTCTCGCTGAGGATGACCGGGTGTACGAGCCTAACTGTGTAAAGGGGGGGGGGGCAGCTGGCTCTTTACCAAGCCCCCCCCCCCCCCCAAGCGCTACAGGAAGTTCCGACTGACGCTAATGCGATTTTGGGGACCGTGAAGGGCTCAGCCGGTCGGCAAAAGGTGAAACCAAGGGGGAGGGACAAACCCCCTCCACAATTCGAGA